TCACTAACGGGCACATCTGTGTACTCTTTGGTGAATTGCATTCAAGGTACTGATTTAAAAATTGTATACACCTGGCGAGCTCACTTGAGGAATATATATTATACTCAGAATCTTAGCCCGACGTTCGTTTCGGGTGAATCGAGCTGTTCTCCACTGTAGGCGTCTAGGAGCCCTCAACGGCGGTCCCGGAAGGCTCGGTGGCGTACGCTGCAGTTCTGGAAAGAAAGGGGGGTCTTGGCCACCCACATCTGGCATGCCAAGAGGTACTGGTTAAATTCATAGTAGTAATAGCGACGTGATGGAGATCATCAGATTTGAGATGGTCGATGGCATCCCAATGAGAGTTCGCGATAAGGGTGAACGGGCCGTTCATCGGATAGCATCTCATAAGTGAGCTCAGGAGTGCCTCGGGGGTATTCCTACAGATACCCGCAGGTGCGTCGTGATGGACAGATCGTCTTGGCCTTGTATAGAGGTGCAGTGTAATACCTCTGAAGAATTAAATGAAGTGCTCGGGTGTGGCCTCCGGACCAGTATCAGTCTGACGATGGGGATGTTTGCTCCTGAGGGGCGTTTGCGGGCTGCGGCGTTGCTTTTGGGAGATGAAGGGGAGGTAAGCCCTTGGTGTTTGTCATGGAAAGTGCCCTTGTTCCTGGCAGGTATTATCTCCGATTTACGTTATGCGTGAGGAAAATCCGGCGGGAAAGGCGTTCATTTGGGTTCATCCTAGTGCGACTGAGCATCTCGAAAGTCTGTTGATGGGAAAAGTGTCATCAGTGACGCGTCTGAAGCCATTAGAAATGTCGTGGTTTGCTCTGGAGGGCCCCAGAGCTCGAGAGACTGTAATGAGAGCTCTCGATATAGAAGCGTCATCTACTTTGGGGGGAATAGTCCAGCGGGGTGCAGTGCACGTTGTCACTACTTCGCACGGATGCGACGTTATCGTATCTGATGGGATGAATGCAGCATTTCGAAAGTTGGTGTTTGCTGGGGCTAGTGCAATTGGGCAAGATGACTGGGAGAAGCTGCATAGAGGAGTTCCCTGCTTCCCCATGGACTACCCCGATAGCGCGGCATGTCGTCGGCGTAGTGCTGAACAGGCCAAGACCCTTCTGGAGAGGCAGTTGAGGCGGCCAGGGGCCCTCAAGGGGGAAAGTTTGGCAATTGAAAGTCCATTGTTCACTGACTGGAGTTTGCTGGCTGACCTTGAGGGCCTGGCCCTGCCGAGGGTCGCCAGGGACGATAGAGCTATTGAGAAGGCGGACCTTGTCTGTGTGAGGCTGAGGGCCGATGCTCGAGGGGTTCCATCAGCGTTAGCACATCTATATGCTACTACGGAAGAGGACGAGGGTAAGTAGGAGAGTGAAATAATGTGGAAGTGTAGCGACTCAGGTGAATCAACGTTATATCAATCCAAGGGGGAGAGTGAATCGATACGACCATTGATAGGGTTCGTCACTTCTGGTGGTTTTGGTTATCATCAGGGCTGCGGCATCGCTATTGGGTTTATCAAAGTAATAATGTGTCATAGATGTACAGAAACGCGGTTCAAATTGTGGCATAGAGCGGTAACCGCTCCGTG